AAAATCACCCAGTATCAGAACCTGACTACTCAGCAAGTAATCGTACACAAACCTCTTCCTTCTAGGTGCCCCAGTACGCCATTTGTAAAGCTGGGGGTTGGGGGGTGGGTGGTAGATACTGTCTTTGCCCACCTCAGGGTGTTGCTGTGTCAAGTGAGATAATGGGTGTGAGCTTGCTGTGACAAGGGAAACTCTTTTACAAATACTGCTCTGATGATTTACATGAATGTAGGTGTTTGTTTGGTGTGGTTTTATATGTGTATCTGTGTGTGCTTAAGTTTGTTCTGGACAGAAAACCTGAATAGCTACAGATCTTCCCTATGCAGCGTCTGCCCTTCACGTTGTGATAATTATATTAGAACTATGTGAAATGATCATCACCAGAGAACAGAATCTCCCCCAAAACTGAGCCCATGCATCTGACATTGATAGGCACTTTGCAGCCATTGGGACCTTGTTACTTCTAAGGAAAGGCAGTGTTCCTAGTTTGTTTTATCACTGCTGTGATATTACCTTTGCTCCCAGATCTAAGCTCTGCCCTAACCCACCAGTTTACAAGCAGGTTTGGAGTCCCCAGCAGAAACTGCATTATTGAGGGCTGTTTGGGGTCCTGGTGGTGCAGTGGCCAACAGCTATGGGTGCCATGGCTGCTAACCAAAGGGTCAGCAGTTCAGATCCACCGGCCACTCCTTGCAAACCCTAGGGAGCAGTTCTACTCTGTCCTATAGGGTCGCTATGAGTTGGGATTGACTTGACAACAATGGGTTTGGTTTGGATTTTTTTTGGGCGGGGGGTGCTAAAAATGAAGCTTTTACACAAGAATGTCACTTTGCTTGTCTTTCTTGTATGCATGAGTTGCAAGTCCTGCTGTATTCTTTTTGGGGAGGAATAGAGGGACAATTAAGGAGCCCTGGCTGCACAATGGTTAAACCACTTGGCTGCTGAGTAAAAGGTTCGCAGTTCGAACCCACTAGCTGCTCCATGGGAGAAATGACCTGGCAATCTGCTCTTGTAAAGATTCCAGCCTAGGAAACCCTATGCGGTGGTTCTACTCTGTCTCATAGGGTCGCTATGAGTTGGAATCAACTCAATGGCACACAACACCAACAACAATAGAGGGACAATTCTGTCTGCACTGGTAGTAAGCCCATTCTTAGTATAATGCTTGTATTTCCCATCGGGCATTTTCAAAACAAAGAGATAAATTGAATGGTCAGTACCCCATCACTGTTCCTCTCCAGGAGTTAATCATGGCCCCAAGCTGCCTCAGTGTGCCCCAGCATCCCCTATTGAACGTCACCCCGCCAGTGCCTTCAGCTGTGTACTTTTCATGATGAAACATGAGTCATCCTTCAGATTCCTGCAGCAGTCTTTCCTCTAGGAAATTTATCCCCTTGCTTTGGCTTCATGCACAGCAAAAGCGCTTAGTGTCAAGGCAGGTCGGTTCACTTTGTAAGCAGGGGCAGTGGCAACAGCTTGGCAGAGTGTCCATATGCCTCACACAAAGAGCATCTTTACCGAGTTATTTCTTTGCCCTCACATAGCTTGTTGCATCTGAGGTGACACTTCATAAATGTCACCTTATTCATCTTCCCAGTGCCCATCAGAGGCAGGGAATCCCATAAAATCAGCCCAGGAAGAATTGGTGGTTCTTAAGTGGCCATCCCCCAAGGCGGCTCCTAGGCAGCAAGTTCCTGTTGAGAGGCTTCAAACTTCTCTCATTCTGTAGCTTCAGTTGTTAAGGGCTGGGTCCCTGTGTCACCACCATCATGATGCATTCCGTAAACATGTAGTGTTCCTTGTGCCAGGTCCTGGAAAGACAGACCTCAAAGCCACCATCCATGCCATTAAGGAGCCCCACAGGAGCTGGAGAGCATTGAGAAAGGACACTGACTGTGGTGGCAGAGAGGGCTTCCTGGAGGAGGAGTGACTGTAACTAACTTATAAAGGGTGAGAAGAGTCAGCCAGGGGAGCAGAAACAGGAAGGAAGGCAGAGGAAGGAGACTAGAGGAGGGAGATAAGGCTACGTAAGAGTCAGAGGTGGCCAGATCATAAAGGACCTTCCTTGTGGGTCATGCTGAGGAGTTTGGATTTGATCCTCAATTGATAGGGATTGAATTTCAAGATTTAGGTAGCAAGGCTTTCCGCTGCTCCTTCACTGCTTCCTCTTCACCCCCAACCACCAAACACGTAATCACTTTTTTCTCCTAGGGAAATTTCTTGAAAGGCTTGACATTCTGTAATCTTTAAATACATGGATGAAAGAATGAATGAATGATTTCTCTTTGAACTATATAGCCATGAATGGCCACATGGCAGGTGTTTTAGTTACCTAGTGCCACCCCAACAAAATACCAAAACAGTGGCTGGCTTTCCTCACAGTTCTAGAGGCTGAAGTCAGGCTCAGGGTCTCAGCCATTTCTGCTCCTTCTGTGGACTCTCTCCTGGTTTCTGGTGGCTTCTGGCAATCCTTGGCATACCTTTGCTACTTCTAGATGTATCTTCCTATGGCATCCTCCCCCTGGGTGTGTCTTTCTCCATGTCTTTTTTCCCTTTTTATAAGTTAGCACTCAGAAGGAATTAGGTTTAGGACCCACCCTACTTGGTATGCCCTCATTAATATAACAAAAGAAAACCTCTATCTCCAAAGAGAGCCACATTCACAGATACAGGGGTAGTTATTGTTAGCTGATTCCAACTCATGGCGACCCCATGTGTTACAGAGTAGAACTGCCCCATTGAGTTTTCTTGGCAATAATCTTAACAGAAACAGATTGCCAGGCCTTTTCTTCTGTGGTACCTCTTGGTGGTTTCAAACTGCCAACCTTTAGGTCAGTAGTTGAGCACAAACTGTTTGCACCACCTAGGGACCTTACAGAGGTTAAAAAAACAAAAAACAAAAAACCTCGTTGCCCTCGAGTCGATTCTGACTCATGGCGACCCTGTAGGACAGGGTAGAACTGCCCTATAGGGTTTCCAGGGAGCAGCTGGTGGATTTGAACTGCTGACCTTTTAGTTAGCAGCTGAGCTCTTAACCACTGTGCCACCAGGGCTCTTTACAGAGGTTAGGACTTCATATCTTTTGAGGGGACACAATTCAATCCATGATAGCAAGTAACTGGGTAAACGGTTTAACAACTTTCAGAAGTGGGCCAGAAAAAGGCCCTTTAATCAAGGCAGAACAAAGAAGAAGCTTGCACTTGCCTGGAAGAGGGCCTGATTTGCAAGGCATCCTTCCCTTGATTCCATTTTCCCCCGAGCAGGTCGGTAATTTAAAGCCATGCTTCGTCGTCCCAGCTTTGGGCCACTTCGTGAATCAGAGACAACTGGTCTTCACAAGAGTAGAGCAGTTTTAACAGAAACGTATAAAACAAAAAGAAAGATGGGTCTGGATGACAGTGCTCCAGTGAGGAACAAAGAGGGGTCTGGGTTGCTGGAGCTGCTGGTTTCGTGTGCTTGTTTATGATTTAGATGCAGGGCTTGGGGAGTTAGGCAGTTAGTTTCCAGTAAAGATCAGAGAACATGTTACGTGGTGCAGGATGTGAAGGGTGGGAAAAGCCCATTGCTTTGACAGCAGTTTTCCTTGCCTCTTCATGGCCAGGCACAAGCTCCCTGCATAAGCCTGCTTCCCCAGCCCTTCTTAACAGACCTCCCCGCACTGTGCAGGGAGTCATCCAGAACAAAGAGTGGGCCAGGGCACTCTCTCCGTTCCTCGTGGTATTTTTGTTTTGTATGTCAAGCATTTACTAAGCTAAGCAGTGAGACACTCCCACCAGGATTTTCTCGATATTTTGGAAATTATTCAGATTATTTGGACCTGCCTGGAGTATACTCTCAGATGTTTATATTCTGTTGTAGGTTTTCAGAGAGCGCTGGACCCAGAATGATCCAGGTGTTCGAAGGAATTGGGAGTGGGACGGAGGGGAGGGAATCACTTTTTAACGTTGGGGAAATTAGAAATAGATGGCCATGCAGATGATTTCTAAGATTCCTTTTAGCCCCAGCCCACTTGCAAAGCTGATGCTTTTCTGATTCCTCCAGATTACTCAGTGGTCACTCTTAGGTTCAGAAGTTCCCCTGCAACCCAAAGCAAGTCTGAGATTTCTTGTCCATGTCCTGTATTTTAAATATGAATACTGCCCATCAAATTGTCTTACATCCAATGCCTTGCCCCACTTCTGGCAGAAATGAAATCTGAAGAAGTAGCTTCCATTTGAAAAATCTTTTCACAGTCTAAGAAGAAAGAGTGTTATAATTTATGACATCAAAAAAAAAAATTATCCTGGTAAACCAAGGCCTTTTATATCAAAAAGCCAGAGGATTTCCAACTGTTTGTATTTGTCAAGAGGCTCGGTAGTCTTTGGGTTGTTTTACTGATGATATGGGGCCAGCATGTCTCATCTAGGCAGATGAGACTCTGGCCTAGGAGGGGAATTTCAGGCAGATTGAGGCTAGCCCTGCTCTTCCAACCTGCCTCTGCCTAAAATCCCATCTGTACAGCTTCAGCCCGCAGTTTAAGGCTTTTATCCCACAGTTACAGAATGCCCGGGCCCACCATTGAGTGGGAGAGGGCACAGATTAGAGATATGGAAACACTACAGAAATACATTGCCAACTCTGTACTTTATCCCAGGGTCAACCCTGTTAGGGTCATAGAATAAAAAATATTCAGATCAAGCTAGTTAACCCCACATTTTACTAAAGGGAAACTGAGTCCCAGAGTAGGGAGGCACATTACCCAAGGACACTCAGACAGAAGGTGCCTTTCGGAGACAACAGGCACCACGATTGGCAGTTTTTCGGGGGCCAGATCACTTTGAAATATGAAAACTGAAATGGCTGGGAGAAATAGAGAAAATTTTCAAAATGGCTTTCTGACTCTGGGTAAACAGTAACCACATTTTTTTTGCCTGTTGGAGGCCTGGTTTTTAATCACTCCACAAGCAGTTTTCATTTCTGTAGTAAAATTGCTTGTGGTTCTATTTAATTTGTTTCTGCAGGAGCCAGCTTTGGTGAAGATCTCCGAGGAGCTGGCGGGCATTTTAGCACAGCACGCACAGCCAGTCAATGAGAAACGGTTCCCGACGTGGGGGAAATTCCTCCAAACGTTTCTCACTCAAGGTAAGTAAGACTGTAAAGTTTCTGTTGAGGATTAGTCATTACACAACCTTGAATTCTAGTTTTGGGTCAACCTAGGGCTGATTTAAATACTTTGTGTCCCTTGTATCGGTTTAGAAAAGTGCTCCTATGAGCAGGCGTTCTTAAACTTTGCCCAAATATTTATCTTGTACCCAGCCTCTTAAATAAATAGGAACTGCGTGTACCAAGCATGATGTGCATAGCTCAAGGTCCCGGGCTTTTTTTTTTTTTTTTTGCAGTACAGACTTCTCCTGAGAGGTGGGCTTTGGAATCAGATGACCTTGGTCTAAATCTTATCCATGACCTTGAGCAAGGTTCTTAAACCCTTGGAGGCCCAGTTTCCTCACTGACTTATCTACTCACAGGGTTGTTGTGAGGATTCAATGAAATATAGATATGAAAGTTTCTGCCATGGAGGCTGACACAAAATAAGTCTTCAGTAAATGTTAATTCCCCTTCGATTTTCTAGGAGAGCAGAAATGGTCTTAGTTCCGGTTCTGAAGGTAACCCAAAAAACCAAACCATTGCCACTGAGTTGATTTTGACTCATGACAGCTCCATGTGTTATAAAATAGAGCTGCTCCATAGGATTTTCTTGGCTGTAATCTTTACAGAAGCAGATCGCCAGTCCTTTCTTCTGCGGCACTGCTGGATAGGTCCAAACCATAAACCTTTAGATTAGTAGTTGAGTGCAAGCCATTTGCACCACCCTGGCCCATGTTCTTTTTTTTTTTTTTAAATAATATTGTGTTTTCAGTGAAAGTGTACACAGCATATTAGGTTCCCATTTGGCAATTTCTGCACAAATTGTTCAGTGACATTAGTTACATTTTTCACAATGTGTCAACATTCTCTCTAATTGCATCTGGTTCTTCTGTTTCCAGTACTCTGGTTTCCCTCCCCCTTAGCTTCTCATCTTTGCTTTAGAGTAATTGTTGACCTTTTGGGCTGGCTCATGTTCTGAAGGTAGAATTTCCAAATAAGTGTCCTCTGCAGTCCAGAAAACAACCCGAGGCTCCATTGCTTTCATCATGACATTCCTAACTCATCTTCATTTTCTAATGACATCATGAGGTCCATGAATGAGGGAATAAATGGAGCAAATAATGCCTATCTCCAGTCGCAGAGGTACCTGTGAGAGTGCTAGACAGAGGCACACACAGGCAGTGGCCCCCTCACTGTCTAGAAGATTCAAGTCTAAGGCAGACATTCTTGTCTGGTTACCTACATGAACGATAAGAGAAAGCTTGTATGACAGACCGTAGGAGTTACCTGTCCACTCTAGTCATTGCTGGTCAGAGCACATCTGAGCTCCACAGTCTGCAAGACTGCTGACTCGCTCAGATATGCTCAGAGGAAGGTAAAGAGAAGGTTAAGGAGCCAAACCCTATAAGGAAGAGTTCGGGAAAGAGGATATGGTTGGCTTTCTAAAAGATTAAGAGGAGATCTGATAGCAGCCTCCAGGGACTAAAAAATCTGTGAAGTGATAATAATAATATGAAATGAAAGAACTATCAGATGATACCAACAACACAGCAACAACACAATGATAATAGCAAACAGTGCTTATTATGTGCCAGGCACTGTTCTAAGCATACGCGTATTAGCCGTCCCCTGAGGTGGGTACTATTCTTACCCTTCTTTGTAAAGGAGGAGACAGAGACACAAGATTACGTAACTCACCTCCCATCACTCTGTTAACAAGTGGCAGAGCCAGTAAGTCGCCAGAACTTATGGCAGAGCCAGTGGGTATATTTTTCCCAAGGAACATAGCTTAGTATGTGAGAGCATGGGAAAGGAGAGATTTGTTGGTTGTTGGAAAATACTGGCTGGGTGGGGTGGGGGCAGGGAAGTAGAGTGAGGATATTTGTAATGAACACCTTGCTAATGAAGTCTTTAAGCAAGGGGTTGGATGGCCAACCATCTCCTGAGAATGCTGACAAGGAATTCTTCACTGAGACAGGTTGTGCTACATGACCTCCAATGTCCTCTCGGCTTGAAAATTAAATTACAATCACAGAAAGGTAAAAGTAAAAGAGTCAACCCCATGACTAAATGGAAAATGAGATACTTACAACAAAAATTGGTCAGAAAAGGGAGGAGTTTCTCTGTTGGAAGGGGAAGACTATGAAGATCTCCAGATCCATCCAGGACAGGATGTTAGGAAGTTTCTAGATCTTCCAAGGTCAGCCTGCAAAGCCTTCCTCTAAAACATGTATTTTCATGTGAGATTTATAGATCAGAAAGTGTTTTCTCAGCCACTGTCACCTGAGCTACAGAACCACACGGAGCTACAGAACCACACTGAGCTATAGAACCACACTGAGCTACAGAACCACACGGAGCTACAGAAGCACACTGAGATACAGAACCACACTGAGCTACAGAACCACACGGAGCTACAGAAGCACACGGAGCTACGGAACCACACTGAGCTACAGAGGCACACGGAGCTACAGAACCACACGGAGCTACGGAACCACACGGAGCTACAGAACCACACGGAGCTACAGAACCACACGGAGCTACAGAAGCACACGGAGCTATAGAACCACACTGAGCTATAGAACCACAAGCTAAGGCCTCGTCTTTGCCTTCTGCTCATCTCTATCTTTTCCTCTCAGCCATGTTGTAAACACCAAGCTTATTTATGGGAGGCAGAATAGGCTTTACTGACCCAGTTTTATAGATGAAGAAACTGAGGCTAAGAGCTGGGAAGTAACTAGAGCAAAATCACACAACAAATAAGTAGTGAGCGGGAACCCCAAGTTAGATCCTGCAATTGTGTGTAGCATGTCTCAAAAATCTGATTCTTGTAAGTCAGTGTTTGCAAAGCTTCTGCCTGGCCCTAATCCCAGCGCATACAGCAGGCCCTGCATAAACGTTTACTGAATGAGTGGGGACATCCCCCCAGGTCTGCTGACTCTAAGACCACCATATCCCACCATCTCCCACTATCACCTCTTTTCGTTCCATTTCTGCAACTCTCAAGGGTGCTTATGGCCACAAAATGTGCTACAGATTTGATTTCGGTATTGTCATAGGATTATAACAAAGGCAATATATTTTTTAGAAAGAGGAATTAGTTACTTTGAAAGGAAAACAATGAACAATGAAAAGACTATGGTCATGATGCTGACAATACAAATAAGCTTAATTGAAATAAAATATCTAAAGTCATCTTGTAAATTATAAAGGAAAATGTTTCCACTGAAGCACTATGTTTCAACGCATGTTGTGTGCTGTCGAGTTGATTTCCACTCATGGTGACCCTATATTATAGAGTAGAACTGCCCCAGAGTTTCCTTGGCTGTAATCTTTACACGAGCAGATCACCAGGTCTCCCACTGAGCCGCTGGGTGGGTTTGAATCACTGACCTTCCAGTTAGCAGCCGAGCACTTAACCATTGCACCACCAGGGCCCCTTTCTCAAAGTGTAGGTGATGGCTAAAGCCACCAAGTTAACTGTATCAGAGAGACTGTTTCGTTGTTGCTTGGCTGCATTTACCTTGCTAAATCCTCAACACCTAGTATTTATGTACAGCACACACAAGCAGGCCTCATTTGAAAAAAAACACACCCTGAGCCAACCAGGTAGATAAATTAGGGATTGAATGTGTACTCTCCAAAATTAATCAGTCTTCCTTCCAAAACTCCACTTTCTTTAGGACCAGCTGCAGCCAAATTTGTAGACATTTAAGGAAAGTGTCTTTTGTATAAAGTAACAGGTGGCTACATTTGACAATTGCTCAAGTCTCAGGATTTAACCATACAAGCTGTTTAAAATCTGTGGCTTAAACACCTGTGGGCAAAGGCCACTCCCCTGCTGCCTGAGCAAATTTTTGAAATACAGGTCAAGTTTACCTTAATTCTATCAGGATCCAGAGGGTGCCCTGTCTAGGGAACACTTATTTGTTTTTACTTATAAATTATCTAACTCTTTACAAATGAACTTTTTTTTTTTTTAACTTTTTGTATAAAAGGCATATATACAATAAAAAATCTGGGTCATGTAATGTTTGTGGGAGCAACCAAGCTAGCCCACAGAATTAGCAGGGCTAATATTGTTGCTGCGATTCAGCAGCACATTTGCCTCTCTGGAACCCCAGAAAGCATGGCCCCCGGATTCTCTATCAGCCCAGAACTAGAACAATTTCTGAGGCCAACTCTTCAGACAGGGATTGGACTGGACTGTGGGACATAAAGTGATACTCATGAAGAGTGTGCCTCTGAGCTCAAGCAGATACAGGAGACTAGATGGGCAGCTTCTGTCCGGAGGTGAGATGAGAAGGCAGAGAGGTTAGGAGCTGGTTGAATGGACATGAGGAATCAGGGGTGGAAAGGAGGAGTGTGCTGTTGCAGTATGGGGAGAGCAATTTGATTCACATAACAATGTATGTATAAATTTTCGTATGGGAAAAAAAATTTTGCCTCTATGTTTTTTTGTATTCCAAGCAGAAAGTAAAATATGATAAATTATAAAGCTCTCATTATCCATAAGGAGGAAGCACAATTGTTCCTTAAGAGAAGCAGCATCTCCCAGCTCTTTAGTCTAAAAAATGTTTCATAATCGGCTATATATAGGAGTCCCCTGGCTGACATGTGGTCAACCTTCTCTTGTGCCCTGGCGGTGCAGTGGTTAAGCGTTTGACTGCTAACCAAAAGGTCAGCAGTTCGAATCTACTGGCCACTCCTTGGAAACCCTATGGGGCAGTTCTGTTCTGTCCTATAGGGTCACTATGAGTCAGAATCAACTCAATGGCAATGGGTTTGGTTTTTTTGGGTTCTCTTGTGCCTGATAAAAACCCAGACCTCTCAGACCTTTGAAAAGTAGTGAAGTTGAACAGAAAGAGCACTGGTCATCAAGATACGAACTGGTCTATGGGCAGTTAATTCCCCTTGAGGGATTTGCCTGTAGTCCTTGGGTTCATCATTTATGTAATGAATGGGCGTAAACTTGATGATTTTTACAGTGTCTTCCTAATTATGGTCAGAATCAAAACTGCCATTCATTGAGCCTTACTACCCCGAGCATTGGGCTAAATACTTAAGACACAATATCTCTGAAATTCACAATAATCCAGTGAGGTAGGTTTTTTTATTATGTCCATTTTGCAAATGAGGAGAAGGAAGTTCAGGGAATTTAAGTTGCTTGCCCAATGTCTGTTAAGACATGAAAGCTTCCAAGATCTGAGCCCAAGTCCAACTGCCAACCTGTGCTCTTTCCTCTTGCTCTAAATGGGCGAAGTCCGCACGAACCCATCCTTTCACCTACTCTGTGCTTTTCCCACCAGGGGGCGTGATCGAAGCATTCCCACCTGCAGAAAGTGTCACCAACCTGACAGTAGACATGCTGATAGAGCCCAATGGAGTAATCAGGATACTGTCTACGGGGGACCAGTTTCATGCAGACGGCCCCTTGATCTCCTCCGGTACCACCTTACCTCAGACCTCAGTGGACCCCCAAGTTCTCCATTCTATGTGCCTCCAAATCGGAAATGCCTGTAAAACGAGAGATGTGGTTGGTTACTTTTCTGTAGACCTGGTGACTTTTATCGATCCAGTCACCATGGAGCAGCAGGTAAGTTGAATTGATTCTAGATGAAATACTAAAATAGTCAAAGACTCCATACCCTCCATGCCCATGCTTTGGGGAATAGGAGGGAGCTTCTGAAATTCACTGCTCTCAGGAGCCGATTCTGTAAATTCAGCAATTACATGGTCCATGCCAGTCCACTTGGGACCAGGCTTTCTATCCTGAAACATGGGTCCAGGGTCATCTTGTTTGGGTACAGTTTGAGTTTCAGTGACTGAAACTCATCCCACATAGCTTGTCGACTGAACCCTCAATTCTGCACATTAGTGCTGTGCCTGTTGTCTTATCACAAACCTATTTCGTGCCACACAGGATGTGACCTGTCCAAAGCCTGCTCTTAAGTAGAAAATCAGTCACTAGAAAAGAGTGAAGAGTCCTTGTCCCTGTTCCTTTTCTTACCAGTAATTCACTAACAACTTAGGCTATCAGTTTTTTCTTTAAAAAAGATCATGGGTAAATATTTCAGAAATATGAAAAGTAGAAATAATAATATAATGAACATCATGTGCCCCAACTCAGCTTAAAAAAATCAAATGGTGCCAACACCAGTTCCAGTCCCATGTACTCTTTTCCAATCATATGGCCCTTTTCCTCCCAGGCTCAGTCACTGCCTAACACTTGGGGTTCCAGTTTCCTTCCCTGTCCTTCCATTCTTACTGCACGTGGATGTATCCATAAATAACATATGCTTTCATTTTTTATTATTCTACAACTTGCTTTTATTTACTCAATATTACACTTGTGCATATGTGTGGCTCTGATGTATAATATTCTGGATAAATAATTTTTAACCTTTTTTGCTTTGGTATTTTTCAAAATTATAATGTTTAAATTCGCTACTACTTCACAGGACTCATTTTTTAAAACGTTCAGTTACTCCTCTTTTCGTGCTGGGTGACCAGACCTCGGTGTAAAGGATGAAGTGGTCCCCCTGCCCGCCCTCTCTCAGTATTCTGTGGTCAGCCAGCATTTTAAATATAGTCTCGTGGTTTTGTATTCATTATTCCTGGCTTTATGGTTCTCCATTTCCGTCAGATGATGGTTTCAAAGTGAGAGTTGATGTTTTTGGCAGTTTCCAGCTTGTTCAGTAATCATTCTCCATTTACCTTCCCCTACCCTTCCTTGGCTTCACATCCCATTCTCAGCCCTGCACTTGGAGAGAGAAAAGGACAAACTGAAGGATGTTCGGAAATCCACCTGGGTCGGGGGAGGACAGTGAAGGAGCTGGCTGGCCGGGAAGCAGTGAGAGTTAAGGCAGGGGAGGCTGCCCTCCTCAAACATTTGTCATGAGAAAGAAGGATGAAATCTGTGGTCCCTGGGGCAGGAGAGAGGATGGAGATAGGGGGACAGTTAGAGTTTTTGTATTTGAATTCAGTATAGGGAGAATTGCACACAACAGTGAGAGAAATCTTCTCCAGACACAGAGCTGGTCCCAGCCCTGGGCTTAACACCCTACAGGCTTCCAGGGTAAAAGTCCCCACCTTCACATGGCTGGCCCTGTCTGCCACACCAGCCTTGTCTTACCCTTCCTCCCCCTCTTCTTCTCTCTTCCCCAACCACACCGACCTCTCAGTCCCTCTTACTCTTCATGCTATCCCCCGGCCACAGGGCCTTTACACATGCCACCTGGCTACCTGAAATGATCTTGCCTCTTCTTTGTACCTAGTTAACCCCCTTCCCATCCATCGTATTTCAGCTCAAACCACACTTTCTCAGGGAAGCCTTTCCTGACCTCCCCGACAAAGTTGAATTTGCATTTTAGGCCCTTGTATCATCACGTACCTCTCCCTCATACCAATTATCCCAGTTGGAATTTTAAACTGATTTACATGATTATCTGATTAATATCTGCCTCCTCCTCTTGACTGTAAGCTCCCTGAGGAAACATACCATGTCTCTTTTTTGCTGTCCATTATATTCTTAGCACTTATCTCTGAGCCTGGCACAAAGTAGGTGTTCAGTAAATAAAGATTTACTGAAAGAACGAATGAGTGAACATTTGAGGAGTTCTAGCAGATGCTGGATGGTGTTGTTAAGGCTAGTAGAAAAGGAACTCAGACATTAGTGAAGTGGATGAGATAAATATTAACCCAAGATTCTGTGATTTTTTAATATTTTTCATCATACTATGACTTCTCCTTTCTCCTTCCTGTTAATGCTTGAGTATATGGCCATGTGGGTTACAATTACAACATTGGAGGGAGTTCTCAGTGAGCACCTCAAAAGGTTTTTCTTTTCTTTTCTTGAGGTTTTTTTTTTTTATTGTACTTTAGATGAAGGTTTACAGAACAAACTAGATTCTCATTAAATAATTAGTATACATACTGTTTTGTAACATTGATTACCAACCTCATGACATGTCAACACTCTACCTTCTCGACCTTGGGTTCCCTATTACCAGGTTTCCTGTCTCCTCCTGCCTTCTAGTCCTTGTCCCTGGGCTGGTGTGCCCCTTTAGTCTCATTTTGTTTTATGGGCCAGTCTAATCTTTGGCTGAAGGGTGAACCTCGGGAGTAACTTCATTACTGAGCTAAAAGGTGTCTGGGGGCCGTACTCTCGGGGTTTCTCTGGTATCTGTCAGGCCAGTAAGTCTAGTGTTTTTTTGTGAGTTAGAATTTTGCTCTACATTTTTCTCCAGCTCTGTCCAGGACCCTGTATTGTGATCCCAGAGCAGTCGGTGGTGGTAGCCAGGCACCATCTAGTTGTGCTGGACTCAGTCTGGTGGAGGCTGTGGTCCTTTAGTCCTTTGGACGAATCTTTCCCTTGTGCCTTTGGTCTTCATTCTCCCAAAGGGTGTTTCTACATCGGCAAGGGAAGTATGTTTGCTCTCTGTGTATAATAAATTACTTGTAAAATCACTGGCATGTTCTCTAACCATTTGGCAAGTGGTATCACTTGAGAAAACCCCTAAATTTCTTTTCTAATTGACATAGTTTGTGGTGCCAAGGAAGAGACTGGCGTATTATCAACCTCTGTCACTTTTTATAGACTAACAGGTTTAAAAAATATATTATCTTGTTTTACTTAGTATTTATTTGATTACTAGTGATGATGGACACCTTTTCATATGTTTGTTGACCATTTAGAAATCTTGTCTCAATTGCCTGATTGTATCTTTTGCCCCTTTTTAAATTGGGCTATAATACAAATGTCAGTTTGTAGAAACTCTTTGTATATAAGGAACTCTAATCCTTTGACTGTTATACATGTTGCAAGTATCTTCTCCCAGATTGTCATTTTGATTTTTTTCCTTTTTCTTTTTTTCCTGTTATGTTTATCCACCATAAAATCGCTATTTATTCCTTCATAATTGGTAAGTACTATTTTGTGGGGAGGTGTTCCAAGGTACACCAATATCTTGTTCCTCATCACATTTCTACCTATGAAGCTTAGCGTCCATCAATGACCTTCTCCTGAATCAACCACCACTATAATGGTGGTGATTTGCTATTTCCATCATTCCTTCTACATCTATTGGTTGGCAGTCTACTGTAAGGAAGAGGGTTTTTTTCCTCCATCTTTCATTTATGAATATATGTATGTATGTGTGTATTTATATCATTATGGATTCAGGGATTCCTATCTTATTCAGTGGGTTGTCTTTTGATACTTTCATTATTCCGATGCTCAGATCATCCCAGATTTAACTAATGGTAGATCCTTCAGGATGGTTCCTGTGTCCTTCTGACATGTCCCCACCATTCCTGAGCATTTTCTTACTTTTTGTACAATAAGATGTTCCAGACTCATACTTTCCTTGCCCCAGCCCTAGGATCAACCATTTCTCCAAGAAGCGCTGGTTTCTTTTAGTGGAGGATACTATTACAATCTAGGCTCTTGTTGTTCTCGTTGCTACTGGGATGGCATTGCTTCTGGACCCTCTCAGTGAACAGAGCTAGGCTATATATGCATTATATATGTAGAGTACACACACATATACACACACATTGACACACACACACACACACACACATATATACATTCATGCCTGTGTAACTATTTCTACATCCATCAGTGTATATATTTAAAAAACCATGACTTCCTGCCAGTATCTCCAGTTCCAATCCAACACCTCAGGATTCTTTCTAGACTTCCCCTTTTCCACACATAAAAATAACCTTCGCCAACAGTGAGAAACCTGAGTCTCTTTTTCCTTAATATATTTCCTTATTTGCTCAATCAATATACCTATTTGTTCAGTGTAACCAATCTCCTAACCACTCCTGCCATCTCCTTTGCCTGCCTCACCTGTGACCCACCCCTATAATTCATGTACTACAAATTCATGTCATTTGTGTTTTAACTTGATTTGTAATGCTCGTCATCAGACTAAAGTTTCATATAGTCAAGTTTAGCTCTTTTTTAAAATTACTATATTACCTTGATATTATCAATTTCTTTCTTTGGTCTTCAATCTTCTTACTGTAAAATGAGCAGGTTAACTTACTTGACTTCTGAGGAATCTTCCAGTTGAAAACTTATTTATTTCAATAGAACTTTCATGGTACTTATTTTCTTTATCAGAGAATTCTAAATTTAATAATAATAATGAAAATAGTAATAATACAAATCCACTGTAAAAAATCACAAGGAAATAATCACACAAGATTTATATTTTATTGAATAGCAAAAAATTTCAAATTATCTAAATTCCAGTAATAGAGAATTTGTTAAACAAATTATGATACATCAATGGAATTGAATATTATGAAACATTACAACTCATGTTTCTGAAGAATATTTAACAGGAAACTGTTCATAGAATAGTGGAAAGGTGAAAAGCAGATTACAAAACAATATATGCAATATGATAACTTTATAAAAACAAAAAATATATAGGCAGAGCAAAAATAACCTAAGGATATACACGAAGATGTTAGAAGTCATTATTCCTGCATAGCAGAATAAGGGTGTGGTAGGCAGATAATGGCCCTCCAAAGACATCCACATCCTAATCCCTGAAACTGTGAATATGTTACTTTACA